TTCGTCGCGCGCGGCAATGGGCGCGACGTTTTCTTAATTTGCACTACCTTTCGATTGGAGCATCGGATTTCATGTAGACAAGGACATGGTGGACACTTATATCTATTTTTGGTCATACGACGTCGCAAGTGACTTCACTGGTGCAGCGAATTACGATTCTCTTGCTACATAGCCGGGAAAAACAGAGTCCACTACAATGTTGGTGTACACCAAGAGGACCAGGAATTTCACCCAATGAAATAATCGCCCTCGCTTGCAACTACTTTGTCCTACAAGATGAACTCCCAATCATGCACTGACGTGGGCAGGGTGCAGACCAATGAGCGAATCATTTTCAGAAATTGAGGAAGTGTTCTTAGGAGTTGATCAGCAGTCTTCAAAGCTATTCGCCACCATCGAACCCGGCCACTTTCTAAACCATATCTATTTCTCTTAATAGGGAAGGTGAAGCAAACCAAATGCTGAGGCTCGACCGTATTAGATACCTCTTGCCATAAGGAAATAGTTAGTTCACTATGATGAAAGTTCAGCGAAGGTGCATCCAATGCAGAGGTTGTGACTTGAGCTTCATAGAAGTTGCCACGGACAGGGTACAGCATCGTGATGAGTGAAATGGTGCCTCCGAGAGAGGGTCTCAGAACTACCCCCCCCCCTCCCCCACCTAAATGAGTGCACATGTAAATAACACATGTGAAACGAGAAGGTTTCTCACTTTTCCCCCAACTAGGGACGCACGGAACCCTAGGGACCACGGAACCCTAGGGACGAATTACCGCGACAAACGAGTCGACAAAGGAATAAGGAGAGGCTCAACCATTGACGCAACCACAACTTTACCCTATTGGAATCATCAACAACTCGAAAAGCCAAATTTATTGAAAACTTGGCAGTATTTGTAGTTTGAGCCCCTCATCACGAATACATTCTGTTAACGACTGGTATCCGGCGCCATAGTACAGCATAGTGATGTGTGGAATGGTGGTGTGGGTACAACTGTACAACCTCCCCTTCCCCGACACCAACCTACCAATTTCCCACATTTTCTAATCCAAACATTTTTTGTCGTGTAGGGACAGGAGGGGAGAGGGGTGGATGAGAGGGGGGGGGTATATAGTACATATGAAAAATCACGCGAAAAGTCAACAATCGGGAAGAATTTCTCTTCCCGACGCGGCCAACTTCTCTCAACGCCACATACGACCCCTCTCTCCCAACAACGACTAGTACGACCCCCCTCGCGGAAAATTACGACTCCATAGGTGTTTCACACAACGATGCTGTACCCTGTCCTGAGCAGTGAAGTGTGGGGTGTCGGCCCATCCAATGATCGCGGAATGGGTCTTCAAGGAAGTCAATAGAGAAGTTAGCATAGCAAAATAAGCAGAAACCCTTATTAATCAAGCAAAACACAGTATATCGAAGCTGTGGGCGAAACGTCGACCGAAAGAGAGAGAAAAAAAAAGAAACAGAACAAGAATAATGAAAAAGAAAAAATCTTGTCCATCTCATACCACCCTCCTGGATTTCCCCAACTTCTTGCCATTTTTTCTAAGGACTTTCCAACAAACTACCGCCGAAGGGAAAGGGTACATAGCGCACGTCAAACAGGAAAAATTGAAAAAAATTGACAACAGGTTTTCAGAACAAACGGCCATCTATCCTCCCTTCAGCGAGCAAACACGACCCCCTCCCCCCCCCCCGCTGGAGATCCCATACCCACGACAAGCCTTGATCGTATTGGAGCAGGGGAGAAAAGGAAATGCTCCAGAAATGAGGAGAGAGGAACGACTATGGCTAGCTGAACTCGACGAGACCACAATAAATCAGCTAAAGGTAATATGTTTTTCCTTGAACTGTCAGAGCACAAAGCATGAAATTCACGGTGTTGCTCAATTCTTTTTGGATGTACAAGATTTTAGATGTACTTAAAGGCAGTTGGCACGATAAATCCTCAAGACGAGTAGGATTAATACGCCTTGGCAGGACGGAATTCTGCGACCCTGAGCAGGCGCTGCGTAGCGCCCTTTCCAAGGGAGGTACCTTATAAGGCCCTATCAAGCTACAAAACGCCCGCCCGCCCAAAATTGACGACCGTACCTGATGCTCGTATTGTAAAATATGAAGCGAAGGGATTGGTATGAAGCGGCTGCGATGCTGCATGGATATATGAGTACATACGTGCAGCCGTATCTACCGTAGCGGTTATTGGCAAGATGCCTACGGGAAACTCGTCCGAAATTGCTTTTGAGTCATTGAGAACGAAGGCTTTTCTTCGCAGGTTTTTGACCGTTTCACTTCGTTTTTTCGCCATTTTCCCCACTATATAGCGCCCTGCTAGCATTTTAGGCCGAGTACCGAATTATCTTGCCAACTGCCTTCGAAGGGACTACTAGGTGCTGCGACTATCCTCTTTAACCTCCTAAGCAAACATGCGTAAAACGTTCAAGGGCTTAAAAACATTTAACGTGGATTTTCATTCAATAAGAGAGGATGATCGCCAATTCGTTTACGGCCTAATAAGGGCGCTCGAAAAACATACAGTATGTAATTACTGTCGGCAAGATCCAATAGAGTAACATAAGAGTCAGGCTATTCGTTAGTAAGGCAAAAAGACGGCCACTAGACAAGCTTGAGTCATTCAAAAAAGCAACATGGTGACGGCGACACGACCTTCACGACGTTGGAAATTACGATTTAAAATGAGAACATCGGTGGCTATGTCTGTACTGGCGCTTATTATGAACATTGTATAATGAAGGAATCTTTTTCTAGTCAACGAGCCGTCAATAAAAATCGTAGCGGAAAAGGTTGAGGAACTCAGAGTTGGTGCATCCCAAGGGATTTCACCTACTCGCACATA